AAGAGAGCAGAGAGAAAAATGAATCCAGCAGGCAGTGTCCTGCCAGCCCCAGTGGTGCTGGGCTGTTGCAGGAGGCCCAGCCCCGAAGGGTGGGGAGGGGGCTTGGACAGGCCCTCCTGCTGGCCAACACCCCCCCTTCCCAGCAGATCCCACGGAGGGTCCTTGGTAGTGGGGGACCAGGAAGGGGAGGGGCCCGGCTGCTGCAGAGGGAGGTGCTCCAGGACTGAGCCCACCTCAGGACTTGCCCCACCTCAGTTTCCGCGGGTCAGAAATGGAGCTGGAGAGGTTCTGAGGTTCTGTCCATCTTTCTTTCTTCCAGTTCGGGGCACATCAGCCCCGAGATTGGGTTGCAAGCAGTGACTCGGCAGAAAATGAACCACAGAGACTACTAGCAACCAAATGCTGTGAGCAGGGGAGGGAAGGAGCACACAGAGCTCGCCTCCCCCAGCGCGGTCCTTGGGTCGCTGGGCACGTAGCCAGTAAGCACTCACCACGGGGGCTCTGTGGGAGGCAGTGGGCCCCGCTTCACCTTCGTCTCCTTGTGGGTATGGCCAGGGGCGCCCTGGACTGGAAGTTGGGACTGAACTCAGGCCTGCTGGGTGACCTAGGCAGACTTCTTGCCCTCTCCGTACCGTGGGTGACCTGTGACAGTCAGGAAGGACTCTAGGACCCCAGACAGAAGCTGGGCAAGGGAGGGGCACTAAGGGACTGGAGTCCCCCTGTCCTGCCCCTGAGTTGGTGGCCTTGGCTCCCAGTCATCTCTGAAAGGCTTCTGTGGGTCAGCGTAGCAGCCTCCCCTAAGGCCGCCTGGGGTGGCTCCTTGACATTTCCTGGGCCAGGGCAGGTAGGCAAGGCCTCTCGTTTTAGAGATGTGTGCCCAAGCCATCAGCGGAAGGCGGGTAGTGGCCTCATGATTGAGGGCACACGATTGTGAGGCCCGGGTCTCTGGCCCAGCTCCCCTGCCCGCTCACGGAACCCTGCCCTGAGCCTCAAGTTCCCTGACTGTAAAATGGCACAGTGGCAGCTGGGTAGAAGCCGGCCCTGCCGGACACTGCAGCTGCCCAGCGAGCCCTGCAGGAGGCAGTGCAGCCCCTCTTCCACACCCTCCGGCTCCCAGGCCGTGCCTCGTATTCCAGGGACAGTGACGGTTCTCTGCCACCTGACAGAACCACGCACCTCTGCATCCGGAGTGCGTCTAAAGGCCTAACCCGGGAACATGGGATTCTGTCCAGCTGGACCGCAGGTCAAGGGACACACTTTACAGCAAGGAAGGATCACAGAGCGTGTGCCGCCTCACCTGGCACAGTGGCCCCGCGGAGGCTGGCAGCCTGCTCGGGGCAGCATTCTGACGGAGCCAGCACCCAGCTGCTGGTGCTGCGTCCCCAGGGCCAGCTGTGGAAATAGGCCTGGCCCCTCAGCATCCCCTGGAGCCCCACTGGGGGGGGTGTCCTTCTTATCCTGGCACCCTTAGCTTGTCAGAAGAGAGGTCCCGGTTACCTGGGACAGAGGGAGGGGGAGGGGGCCGGGGAGAAGGGGAGTGAGAGCAGGGTCCACCGCTCACGATGGGGGCCACTGAACTCCAAGCTATCAGGGTGTCCCATCTCATCTCATGGGGTCACACTGCCAGGAAGCAGGCCCACAGTCAGAGATCAGCTCACCGGGGGCACAGAGGTGGGGCCTTCAACTGCTCAGTGACCCTCCCTATGGGACCACAGCTAGCCGGCACCTTGAAGGGGACCCTGGTGGGCAGACCCAGTGCAGGGCAGGCGCAGAGCTGAGCGCTGCAAGGGGCGGACTGCCCCGAGCAGCTGTCCTGTCCCACTTCCAAGCTCCTGGCCTGGCCCAGTGGAGGTCCGTAGCTCTCCTGGGCTGTGGCAAGCTTCACGCGCTGCGACCTGACACTGCTTCACCCTAGGCCCTCGAGCTAGCATCTTGATTTCTGCCCTGAGGCATCTCTGACATAGGGTGTGGGGTACCCGTTCTCCCCCCAATAGCCCACTCTGCAGTCGCACACGTGCAGCTGCAAGCACAGAGGCGTTAGCATCCCACAGGCCGACCCTTATCCCAGGCAGTGGAGCCCTGGGACCCGTGCTCACCCTTATTCCTGGGATGCACTTCTGAGGCAGCTCCCATGAGCCCTGGGCCTGGGGCGCCAGACTCCCTAATGGTGAAGGCAACAGTGCATGGTCATGTCGGGTCTTTCCTGTTCTCTGCCCGCCTGACTCCTCACGCCTGCCTCGGGATCCCAGACAAACTGCAGGTGCACCAGCCTTCACTTTAGCCCAGACCAAAACAGGTGCGAGGGTCTAAATGGTGTCCCTAAGTTCATGTGTTGAAGTCCCAAGCTCTCTTGCCAGAGAACGTGACCGTATTTGGAGATAAGGGACTAAGCTCTGAATGTTTGCGTCCCCCCGACATTCATAGATTGGTTGAAACCTAATCTCTAGTGTGATGGTATTAAAGGGTGTGGGAGGCCAGCAGTGGCGTGGTGGGTAAGGTGGTTAGATCCTACATGGCCAACTACACGGTTCAAGTCCAGGACCTGGCTTGAATATCACACCGTGCACATGTGCATGTGTGCCCAAGAAAATCCCAAGGGGAGGATGGAGAAGACATTTCAGCATGGCCTATCCCCTGGGGTTGGTTTCTCACTTCCCCTGCCCCCATCTGTCTCTGGCAAACTAAAAAAGGGGAGTGCAGGGAACCAGCAGTTAGCGTAATGGCTATGTCGCTGGACTCCCACGTAGTCGACCGCGGTTCGCGTCCAGGACCCGGTGGCTTAAAACTCATGCCGGGCGCGTGTGCGTGCGTGCCCAAGATCCCGAGAAGAGAATGGAGGAGAAGGGATTGCGGCGTGACCACCCCCCCTGGGGGGTGATTTCTCGCTTTCTGTCTCTCTGTCTCTCTCTGTCTGTCTGGCGAGCGCATGCGCCCTGTAGCGGAAACCTCTCAAAAAAAAATAATTAATTAATTAATTAATTAAATTAAAATTTAAAACAATAAAAGGGGAAGTGCCGGGGCCCAGACGGTGGTGCAGTGGTAAGTTGTCACGTGCTGCAAGGCCAGCATGCATGCAGAGGCTCCAGTTCACCTCCAGAGACCTTTCTGAGTCTGGTGGGCTACGCATGCCCATGATCCGGGGCTGGCTGAGGCTGGAGGTGGGTTGTTGTGTCCAGATCCTATGGGAGGGGCTAGAGAAGGTGTTGGTGTGGTTAAGGTGCAGACTCCAGTGTGGTTAACTGTGGTTCAAGTTCCAGACCTGGCTGCTTGAAACTTTTGCCTGGTGCATGTGCATGCATGCCCAAAATTCCAAGAGGAGAATGGAGGAAACGGGGCTGTGATTGAAATCACCCCTGGGGCGGGGGAGCACTGCTCACTCTCTGTCTCTGTCTCTCTGGTGAACACACATACCCTATAGCAAAAATACCTCTCTCTAAAAAAAATAACCTATTGGAGGTGTTGTCTTTCTGTCTGTCTCTCTTGCTCATGGAAAAAAAATGAATAAAATAACCTTTTTTTAAAAGTAGGATTAGGGGGCCAGCAGATGGTGTAGTGGTTATGTCGCTGAACTCCCACATGGCTGACTGCAGTTCGAGTCCCAGACCCGGTGGCTTGAGACTCATGCCGGGCGCATGTGCGTATATGTGCCCAAGATCCCAGGAGGAGAACGGAGAAGAGGGATTACAGTGGCCATCCCCTTTGGGGATGATTTCTCACTTTCCCTCTCACCATCTCTGTCTCTCTCTGATGAGCATATGGGCCCTAAGGCAAAAACCTCTGAAAGAAAAAGTGGATGGAATTAGGGGAACAGCAGGTGGTGTGGTGGTTAAGGTGCTGAGTCCCACATAGCCACCTGCACAGTTCAAATCCCCCCACCCCCCACCCCCGTGGCTTAAATACACATAGGGCCTATGTACAAGCCCAAAATCCCCAGAGGAGAAGGGACTGAGGTGTGGCCATCTCCCCTGAGGGAGGAGTTCTCACTTTTCCTCTCTTTCTATCTTTTTCTGGCCAACGCACACACGCCCTATAAGAAAACATTAAAAAGACAAAAAAAAAAAAAAAAAAACAAAGCGGGATTAGTGTTCTTAAAAAAGAGGCCCAAGGGTTTTTCACCTCCTCCCTGGGAGGGAGGTCAGAGCAAGAAGGTGCCACCCATGAACCAGGAAGGGCCTCAGCAGTCCCGCAGCTGGCCTCTGGGCGCCAGCCCAACCTTCGAGGCAGGCCGGCATTTGTAAGCCACACAGCCAGTGGCACTTACACAGCAGCCTGTGTGGACTGTGTCTTTAAAGAGGTGATTAAGTTCAAATGCGGTCATTAGGAGGGGCCTTCATCCAGGGTGAGGGTACCCTTAGAGGAGGGAAGTAGGACGCAGGGGAAAGGCCGCCATTTCCCTGTGGCCAGGAAAGGGCTCCGAAGAAAGATCCCCGCCCACACTCAGACTTCTGCCTCGGCCTGAGCATGACATCTTAGTAGCTGGACTGGCGCTGTGCCCAGTGGGTGAGAGCCGGATCCCGCGTGGCTGACTGCGGTTTGAGTCCCAGCCACATTCTGTGTGTGTGTGCATGCCCCAGACTCGGACAGGACAGACATGGTGACAGGCTTGTGGTGTGACCCCACACCCCACTGAATTGCTCTTAGGGCTTTTTTTTTTTTTTTTTTAAAGAATTTTAAGGGCCACCAGATGGCATAATGGTGATGTCGCTGGACTCCATGTAGTCGACGACCATGGTTTGAGTCCTGGACCCGACAGCTTGAGACTCACACCGGACATGTGTGTGTGCGTGCTCAAGTCCCAAGAGGAGAATGGAGGAGAGGTGATTGTGGCATAGCCATCCCCCTTGGGGATAATTTCTCACTTTTTAATCTCTCTCTGTCTCTCTCTCTAGTGAGTGCATGCACCCTATAGCAAAAATCTCTCTCTAAAAAATTTTAATTTTATGCATTATTATTATTATTGTTTTCTAATTTGCTGTAGGATGTGTGCACTCATCAGAGAAAGACAGACAGAGGAGAGAGTGAGAAAACAACCTGCCAGATCTGGGACTCAAACCACAGTCCAGAACCCTAACCACCACGCCACCCACTGGGCCCTCAGGACCGCTTTTTTAAGGACACTAATGCCAGTCCTCATTTCCCCCATCTCTCTCTCTCTCTCTCTCTGCCAAGTGCACATGCCCTCTGGCAAGGTTTTTTAGTTTTTGCTACAGGGCACGTGCGCTCACCAGAGGGACATGCACACGTGCCTGACGTGGTTTTCAAGGCCCCAGGTCCAGTGTTTGAACTGTGTAGTTGGCCATGTGGGATCCAACGCCTTAACCTCCACGCCACCTGCTGGCCCACCTGGCAATGTCCGAGGCACCCACTGGGGGCCTCTGTGATGGCAGCCCTGGGCAACAAGTCCTCGGGGATGTTCTGTTATCCCTCTTCTATGAGCGAGCGAATAGAGGCTCTGAGAGCCAGGGTCCAGCCAGGGTCC